TCAGCCCCCGGCAGGTGCCGATAGGTGGGAAAGATGGGTTCCTGCAGGCTTTGTCTGCTCCCGGCCCTCCTCTTTCCTTCCAGGAACACGCGGGCCCTTCCCACCCCGTTATTCTAAATATGCTTCGTTTTCCTGCGCGGATGTTCCTTGGCATTAAAACTGCTGAAATCCCTCTGGTTTGTTGGGGGTTTGGTTTCAATGCCTTTGAAAAATGATTATTTATTGTCCCCGGAAGGGAGCCCCGCGCAGGAGGATTCATGGAGGCAGCGCTGGATTCCAGCACAGCTGGAATCCACATCTGCCGCAGAGCACCGGGGCTTGGGTGAATGAGGATGATCGGGCTTTTCAGGAGGCTTATTCTGTGTTTATTTTGATGTTTATGTAATGGTTGCGGCTGAGAGCAATACAGGTAGGATAAATAACAATAGCAGTACGGTGTAAGATGGATGCCCCATCCCTGGAATGTCCCAGGCCAGGTTGGAAGGCTTGGAGCACCTGAGACAGTGGAAGGTGTCCCTGCCATGGCAGGGGCGGGATGGGATGGGCTTTGGTGTAAGGAACAGGGTGTGCATCCAGGGAACAGCCCTTGTTGAGGGAGCAGGAGCCTGCCGGGTTATCATGGAGACAAAGAGCCCTTTCTGCAAATCATCCGTGTGCTTTTTAAAAATGAATGTTCCTCAGTAACCGTGGGCATCTCTCCTGGAAAACCCTGCACAGCCCTGAGGCAGGGGCGTGTCTGCCACCCGCGCTGTGACAATGAGGGTGGAAATGTCACCTCTGATTGTCAGCCCCGTCTGTAGGGACATTTTAAATAAATAAAAGTACTGCCTGTGTGATGCATCAGTGTGAGCACTTCCGGGAGAGCCCTTCTGAGCCTTTCTCTTTGTTGAGACACAGAAGCATTTCACAGCTCTGCAGCTCATTTCCCAAAACCGGGAGGCAGTGCAGCTTCCAGCAGGGAATGCGTGCCCTCAGATATCCTGTGTTATGTACCCTGCAAATCCCACAGTGGAACCACGCAATTAGGCTTGGCCAGGAGGAGATAAAGCCAGGCTGAAGGACAATCTCATCCTGCTCCAAACCCCAGAGTGGGGGGGTTCTGCTGCTGCCCTGTCCCACAGGCTGGGTGGAGAAGCAGCATGAGGGTTTTCCTTCCTGATTCCCCAAGCTGGGAATGCCACATGCTGCCCTTCCTGCAGGAAAGGGACACAGGTGACAGTGGCTTTGAGGTGCCAGGAGCTTCAGGGGCAGAGGTGGGATGTTAGGGGAGTGCCCTGCATCAGAAACGCCCCAGAGGGGCAGCTCTGCCTGCCTGTGGCTGAGCCCAGCCTGCTGTGGGGGCTGCAGCCTGACCTGAGCCTGGCCAGGAGATCTGGGCACGCCAGGGAGGGGCAGGGATGTGGGGTTTGCTGCCACGTTTGTGGGGTTTGCTGCCAAAGGCACCAGCACTATTGCTTTGTGTGTGCAGCTGCTCCTGGGATCCTCAGGGATCTCTGCTCTGGGCTCCAAACGATCTCAGCTCTGATCCCTTTGGTGGGAGAGGGAATTTGCTTCTGCAGTCAGTTTGTGCCTCAGAGCCCTCCCTGGCTGCCCTGTGCTGTTCCTGGTGGCCCTCTGAGCTGTCTCTGTGCTTCCCTTGCAGGTGAGCGAGTGCTTTGTTTCCATGGACCTCTCCTTTATGAAGCCAAGGTGGGTGTGTGTGGCTGCTGCTGCTGCTGCCCAGGAAAACAAGGACGTGTTTCTGTCTGCTGTGCCTCTAGGTGGGACCAAGGGCTGCAACTAAAATTAACAAAAACCTGCCTGAAATCAATGTCAGGCCCTGGGGCTCCATTCCAGAACAATTTCAGGAAGCCCAGTGGCACCGTGCAGCTATTCTGGGAAGCTCCCAGAGGCTGTTGGAACATCCCAGAACACTGCAAATATCCCAGAGCACTTTGTGCCTGCAGGAATTGGTGCCTGAGCTGCTCAGGGGGAGGGGGCTGAGTACAGCCCATGGTCTTCCTCAGCGCCCAGGAGGGGCTGCACTGCAGTGACAAAGGAAGGGGCAGCCCCAGTTCTGCTTTCCAGTTCTGGCTTTTGAACCACAGGAGCCTGCACTGCAGATTTGTGCCCCTGCTGCCTCAGTGTCTGAGTGCTTCCACTCCCTCTGGAAGGGAAGGAAAGGGCTCTTGGAGCTGTGTGGGTTGGAAGGTGTGTAGAAGTTCCTGGGGTGCCTCAGACAGGGATTTCAGTCCTTCAGGATTTGGTGTCAGTGCGTGTTAACACAGCGAGGCAGGAGCAACACTCAATTTCTCTCTTCAGGACAAAGAGCTGTAATGGCAAAATCTCACCCAGAGCACTGAGAGGGTTTGGGCTGCTCCAAACCTTTCCCACCTTAGGGCTCCTGCTCTGCTCCTTGCTGCCTGTGGAACAGGAGGGTGAGGCTGTGGGAACGTGGGACAATTCCCACCTTTTGTTGGGAGCTGTTGTGCCGGTGCTGCAGACAGGAGGCTGATGGAGGCTCCTGGTTTTGAGGAAATGACCGTGTGCCACTCCGCCTGAGCTGGAGAGCAGCTGTGCTTGCCCTCCTTTCCCAGAGTGGAATGGGTGCTGCAGGGCAGGCTGTGCCAGCTGGGTGCTCAGGGGATCTCCCAGCTCACAAGTGGCTTTTGGCTGCCTCTTTGTACTGGGTGCATCCTTCTGAGTCCCTGCACTGGCACAATGAGCTTGAAGTTTCATTTTAAAAAGGTTTGGCTTGTTTATTTTAAGGGTTTAATTTTAAAAGCTGCTTTGTCAGTATTAATGAATAACAACCTTGGCTTTCTTCCTGCTCCTTTGATCTGTTTTTCTCCCGTGGCTCTCAGTCCAGCAGTTGTTTTGTTCCTGACCACATCCTTGGTGTGCCACAGCAAGGTGGTCAGAGCAGCTCTTTGTGAGAGCTCGTGGCAAACAGGAGCTGTTTGTGCATCTCTGCCGTGCAGAGTTGAAGGAGATTCACTTCAGGCCCTTCCAACGCCCAGCAGGGAAAATATTTTGCTGCAGAACTGTATTTGAGTCATCTTTTGCTTGGTGCTCAGCCCTTTATTCTCCAGGACAAGCAGGGGCAGGCACAGGCTGTGTGTGGCTGGGTTAGCTCCAGGCTGTCAGAACAAGCACTGCTGCAGCAGGAGCGGGAGGACCTTAGTCCTGGCTGGGTTTAAGTTCCATGTGTGGCATTTTGCAGCTGTTTCCTGAAACAGGAGGTTCCTCTCTGGCAATGTTTTGTAGTTGAAGTGGGTACAGCCCGGTGTGGTGTTGGGAAAATGTTGTATAGCCAAAGGTTCTGCCCTCTCAAAAGCTTGGAGGTGGCTCTGTGTGCCAGGCAAATACCAAACGTAATTTTGGGAGCAGTTTTTACTTCAGTGGAAGAAGAGCCCCTTTTACAGAGACTCAGATCTGGAGCCCTGCAGGTTTTACAGCAGCCTCATTCTGTCACTGCTCAGGGGGCAGTGGCAGCTGAATCTCAGCGCCTCCAGAACAGGACTTGAACTTCCTGGAGGAAGTGTTGAGTTGGTGGATTTGATTTGTGCAGGGAAAACTGCAAGCTAAAGCAGCAAAATTCCCTGAGCTCCCCCTGTTTTCCCTGGGACTGACTGACCTTTCTTCTCTGTTCCAGTGTGTAAAGGTTGCCATAAAGGACAAGCAAGTGAAATACTTTATCCACTACAGTGGTTGGAATAAAAAGTAAGTAGCGCATGGAATAAAAGCAGGATTTCTCTTTCCTTTCCAGGGAGATGCTTTGTCTGAGTGTGGGCTGGGTGCAGCAGCCCTGCCATGTCCCTGCAGCTGGCAGATCCTCTGGGGCTGACCAGAGTGATTTAATACCTGAGCTGCTGATTTAATACCTGATTTATGGAACACAGAGAACGTTGCCAAACTGGCCATTTCCTGCAGAGCTGTCAGAGGCTGCTGGGAATGCTCTGGGACATTCTGGTTGT